ATAAGGCGATTTACATATAAAATTGTCATGCATAGGCAAATTAACCACCTCACCCCTATAAATCCTCCCTCACCACACACCCATACGGTGGGGTTGCGTGGTCAGGTGACAAGACTAATCGTTGTCAGCAATTTATCTATTTCCCATAAAGGAAATCTTTTCAAAATTGAATCAAAGAAAATCTTGGTAAATGTAACTTTTTTGATATCATCTCACATTATAAATTATTATCAACACACACATTGTAGTGTTTATTCGCGCATATTACAGTGGGAATTAAAGCACATTAAAAATTGTTGGACACCGTCACTATTCAATTACCAGTCGTATGGGCAAGGTAGGTGAAAAGACTAATCGTTGTCAGTAATTTACCTATTTCCCATAAAGGGAATCTTTCAACATTGAATTGTCATTTATGACTATTAACTATGCATGTGTAGTTGGCGAAACGGACAGTATTTTGTAGTGGTCATGCAATGCTTTAAAGGACTAAAAAAATGGACATCATTTTTTTCACGCACGCAGTACTAGTATTTGGCGCACTTTATAAATCTATCTGAAGCACATTAAATGTGTGAACTCCATTTCATTTCAATGTTTATGAAATGTCAAAATAAAATGTGTCAAGTCAGGGAATGTGAACAAGTATTTCGCCTATAAAAAGGAAGGAACAACCAACGACCGAGTATCAAGGGTTTTCTTTATATTTTTATATTTTTATATGTTGAAATGGCATCAATTGAGTTACCCACTCCATCTCAACAGCAAGCATCATTTCTTCCTCGTCGTGTTCTTCATGTTGTTCATATTTTTATATGTTGAAATGGCATCAATTGAGTTACTAGACTCACGTATTTTCTAATGCACATTATGTTACTGTATTGCGCATGTTAAGCTTTTTTTTTTTATTTGCCACGCACTATACTTTAAATAGATAACAAAACGCAAATTTTGTTGCAGTATTACGCATATTGAGCGTACGTATTGCGCATGTCAAGCTTTTTGCTTGTTTTTAATTGTCAGGAATTGCTCTTTAACATTTTTTAATATAATTAATATAATGGATGAGCCCACTGGCGAAATGGCAGAAGTCTTTGATAAAACTGATTCTTGTCGTCCACGTATGTAACAGAGCAAAGCAAAGCACATTAAGTGTTTTATAACAATCAACGTAATATTCAAAGATATTTGATGTCAGAACTTTAAGGCATTTGTAGTTGGGGAGACGGATAACATTGAATGGTCATTCAATGCCTTAAAAAACGCTCCCATTCACGGAACATTGAAATCTTCAAATCAGTGCATGGGACCAAGTTATTCGCCTATAAATTGGAAAGAACAACACACAACCGAGCATCAGTTTTCATTGAAATGGCTACCTCTCACGTGTCCGCACGTACAGAAGAGCCATATTCTTTTATTCCTCATCTTGAATGTCCTCTTCACCCCCCTCGCCCTCCAGATTGTAGTGATTGTAAATAAATACAAAGACAACACATTCTAAACCTGAAAGAACACTCGTCATCCTCAGCTGCAAGCTCGTCATGCCGCAACCAAACATCATTCAAGGCTGAGAGAGTTGAGCATCCGACATCCCAAATAACACCTACGGCTGCCAGGAATCTATCATATACAGCAAGCTTAGAGACCACGAGCCTACATGCTACCACACTCCTTGCTCATGTCCAAATCGAGCTTGTAAGCTCAGCTGCAAGCTCATCAAACATCATCCAAGGCTTAGAGTTGAGCATTGTGGCAGGCTGGCAGCATGTTGGATGATGCCGGAACTAGAAGAAATGTCTTCAAAGTACTAGGAAAGATGCACTGAATGTTATTGGTGTTGTTTCAATGTGTATTTACGTTTACAAATACTAATGTATTAGAGTGTAAATTATTATTTTTATTAATATAGAAACCAACGCTCATTGTGTTCCAATATCACGCATTTTAAATTGATATGTCACGCATGTTACATTCAAAGCATGTATGTGTCATTTTATATGCAAATTAGTTCATAATCAAACAAACGCACTTTAAGTTTTTCAATCGCGCATACTAGACTAATTTTCAACGCAATGACTGAATAATTACTTTTTTATACATAAACTAACGCACATTAATGCAGAAGTCTTTGATTAAACCAACGCACATTACGTTTTTATACATAAACAAGCTCTCATGTCTGCCTCTGTTGTTGTTATTACTAATATATTATAATCAAAGCAACGGATGAGCCCACTGGCGAAATGGTAGAAGTCTTTGATTAAACTTATTCTGCACAGGATCGAACCCCCATAAAGACTTGAACTTTTTATTATATTTTACTTTTTTTTGTTTAATAAAATATAATAAACGCATATTAGACTGATATTTCGCGCACTTTAATTGGTTTCCCGATGCACATTAAACTTTTGGATTTATTAATAAAATATAATAAACGCCTCTTATAATGATATTTCACGCACTTTAATTGGTTTACCGACGCACATTAAACTTTTGGATTTAAAAAATCTCTTATTTCGATGCAAAATAATTAAATTTATATTTACACGCATGTTGTTATTGTAGCTCGCGCATGTAACAGAGCAAAGCAAAGCACATTAAGTCTTTTATACCAATTCATGTAATATTCAAAGATAGTTGATGTCAGAACTTTAAGAGCACTTGTAGTTGGTTGGGGAAACGGATAACATTGAATGGTCATTCAATGCCTTAAAAAACGCACCCAGTAGAGGATATCTTGAAAAATCTAATGTGTCTGTAAATCACGCAACATTCAAATCTCAAATCAGTGCATGTGACCAAGTTATTCACCTATATATAAATTAGAAGGAACAACACACAACTGAGCATCAGGTTATTGAAATGGCTATCTCTCACTTTTCCGCACGTACAGAAGAATCCTCTTTATTTATTCCTCATCTTCTATGTCATTTTCATCTTCCTCGCCTCCAGCTTGTAGTGACTGTAACTAACTACAAAAACAACACATTCTAAACCTGAAGCATCATTCATCATTCTCTTCTTCAAGCTCATCATCTAGTTTTCAAACAACATCCAAAGGCTGAGAGTTGAGCATTTGTGGGTGGCTGGTGATGTGTCGGATGCTGTCGGAACCAGAAGAAATGTCTTCAAAGTACTAGAAGAAATAAATATGTGCAATCGTTTATGTATGTATCATTTTGTCTGCAAATTATTTCATAATCCAATAAACGCACTTTAAGTTTTGCAGTCGCGCATATTAGACTTATCTTTAACGCATCGTATATTAACTAATAATTAAACGCATATTAGAGAAAGAAAGTGTTAAATATTGTCTTTGTACGCATATTAAGCTTTAATGTCGCGCAAGTTAAATGTTAATCGACGCATTTAAAGACGTTGGCATTTACCACGGACCAAAGTTTCTATACATAAACCAACGCACATTCTGTTTCTGTATTACGCATATTAAGGTTTAATGTAGCGCACGTTAAAATTGTAATCAACGCATATTAAGAATTAACTTCAAGCAGGTAAAGTAGCAATAACACGCATAATAACGTGTTTAAGGTGCGCATATTAGTGAATAAATTGACGCATATTCGTTTAAGAATACCCCATCGAACATTTTCATATTAACAGTCGCATTCTGCTAGACTCAAAGTTGTCACATACGAACAGTCGCATTCGTTTAAGAATTTGCTATTTAAATCCACCATTATTCTCGACTCAAACCTGTCACCTTCAAACACATTTTTGCTTTTCTACTCTACCTTGTAAAGAGAGTTTCAATGGCAACTGAACCCCACTCCGAAATAGTTGGAAACCAACTTCGCATAGGACTGTGCTGGAGTATCATGAGGGTTCGAGTGCTTCGAGTTGTTCGTTTGCCAGAAACAAAAGGTTCTGAAAGAATCCGATCTATAGAGTGTGTACTTCACGATGTAGAGGTATTATTTTTTTTAGTGTAATATAAATCTTACGGAGTAATATTTTATATTTATAAAATTTACTGTTGATGCATATGTTTTTTTTTTTAAATAATTTCAGGGGACTTTTATTCATATGCACATTCCACAATTGTTTGTGCAAAGGCGCCTCAACAGATTTGTGGAAGGAAAAGCTTATCCACTCAGTATATTTGACGTGGCCTATAATACCTACAGAAACAAGACCTCTACTCTCTGGTATATGCTGATGATCTGTGAGAGAACTTGTGCAGTATTATTGAAAGAAGATGCTGAGTTCCCAACATATGCTTATGACCGAGAAGATTATAATTTCGATCAAGAGGTGATCTACTGCATACTTACATTGTTTTTTCTTTTTTTTTTTTATATAATTTTATTGTTGTATTTACAGTTTAGTAACTTTTACGATTTGATGGATGAACAGGTGCCTGACGCTCCTGTTGGAAACTTGGCTAATGAGGATTTAATCAATGAGGAGGCTGCGTAATAAGGATGAATAACGACGAAAATATCAAGATTTTTATGCGTATTATGTCATTATTTGTTGTTATTTTCGTCATACAATTTATTAATGAATAAAATTTATATGTTATCATTTTATGTCTATTATGTGATCTATTATGTTATCATTGAATATTGCCTTTGTACGCATATTAAGCTTTAATGTCGCGCAAGTTAAATGTTAATCGACGCATGTAAAGACGTTGGCATTTACCACGGACCAAAGTTTCTATACATAAACCAACGCACATTCTGTTTCTGTATTACGCATATTAAGGTTTAATGTAGCGCACGTTAAAAGTGTAATCAACGCATATTAAGAATTAACTGCACGCAGGTAAAGTAGTAATAACACGCACATTAAGCTAGTAGCAGTGATTGTTAAACACAAATTAGTGATAAAAACAAAAACTAGTAATAGCTGGACATTAAATTCAAGTATTTCAACTGTAAAAAGCGTTCTGAAATGAGTTAACTAAGTATTTGTGTTTCATATTTGCTATCCATTTTCGTTCTCGACTGTAAAGGCGTTGAAAAAATAGTCTGCTATGCCTTTTTCTTACCCTTTTGCTTGTCCTTATTTTTGGGGTTAAGTGGGCAAGTCCTGGTGTCATGGTGATCTCCTCTAACACCACAAAAATTGCACTTCCTGCCCTCTTGTTTTTCCATTGCCAACTCCTTGCTGCTTTTGATACGCTTGTCGCTGCCCTTGTTCTTTGCATGTTTCGGTGGAAGTATGTTGATCTCTGAAATTTCTGTTGATCCCCAATATGATTCTATAACAGTCCTCCTGCTGTGCTGAGGGGACAATTTCTCCTTTCCTAACAGTAGCAGCTGTTTCTGTTCATTAATCACTTGGGAAAATGCAGTCAATTGCTCCATGTTTGAACCTGCCAGATCCATACAACAGTGTATATCAGACCACACTTTGTTCAACAACATCTTCTTTTCATCCTTTGGTCCATTCTGATCATAAATGACACCATCTATTTCAAATGTAGCTTTTAAAGATGCATCATTAGTCCACCGATTAACCACGTACTTCAGAGGGATCCTTTCAAGGTCTCTAAAGACCACAAATATGTGTCTACACAACAGTCCAACCATCTCAAACATCTTGCAACTGCATTTGGCCTCATGGTCATTTACATTGTGCACCACAGTAAATCTTTTGTTCTTTCCATCCATCATATCATAGTGCAACATTCCACCGTCTTCTCTAACACTCAACACCATACATTTGAAACAGGAGGCACATATTTCTTCCTGAACTTGATAGAAAACAGTAATGGTGTAGACGATTGAAGCGTGCTTTTCAATCCCCAGAGGCGTCTTCATATCTGGATTGTAGCCTTCATTGTCACTGTTGAGCTTTGCATTTGTGTTACGTTGTGATTTAAGAGCACTGTCAAAGTTCATCATGAATTCAACTAGGCTTGATTGGGGACCAGTAAAACGGTTGTTCGTGTAGTTCTCACTTTCGGAACGAGAAGTTGTCCTGAGTAGACCCCCATAAAGCCATCTCTAAAATACGCTGGGATCCAATGTTCTAGCCTCAAACATAGTTGTAAACCAATTGTGCTCGACTAAGTTGTACTTTTCCATGAGCTCTGTCCACTGCTTCTCAAAATCAGGAGGTTCCAAAGATGACGTCCAAACGATTGAGTTCAGTTTGTTCCTGAATTCCTCATCCTTGTTCAGCGTAGGACCCACCTTTTCCCCAACTTTACACATGATGTGCCACATGCAATAACGATGCCTGGCTTGCTTGAAAACTGTTGGAATCGCCACTTTCATAGCTGGATCTTGATCGGTGACAATTATTCTTGGTTCCATACCCATTGCCTTTTTAAATTTTTCAAAGAGCCAGACTCAATGTCTTCTTTCAACAGTAGTCCAGCACCGAATGTTATACATTTTTTATGGTTATCAACTCCAGTGAAGGGTGTAAAAACCAGATCATACCTACAAGACAAAAAGTGTCATCACAGTATACAGGTGTCAAACTGCCGCACTTAGAGAATTAGAGTAACGCACATTAAGTTTTAAAATAGCACACATATGTAATTGAGGTCTAATTCTGGATATTCCGCATTAATATGCGAGACAGTAGTGTTTAAAATGCGTGGTATAAAACGACAATGTGCGCTTATTTATATTTCAACTCTTTTTCAATAAAACAGTGAACGTGTCTAAATCTTAACATGGCTCAACAGATCAGGCAATGCTAAATGTGTATTAAGTAATGAAACGTACGCAAGAATGTGAATAGAATAATATATAACTGTTTGTTGAGTATGTGGCATCAAAAGAGACAACATCTCCAAATGCAGCAAAATTCTTTTTTGACATTGGATCTGCCTAAAACAGTCTGCTCATCTGCTCATCTTCATCAACTTCGTAGTCAAAAGCAAATGCATGGAACATCTCTTGTTTCTTAATAAGATTATGCACCAGTATTTGTGCATCAGCTCCCAATATGTATGCTCTGAGATCCCTTCTAACATTCTTAAAGTCAACTACAGTCGCCCCAACTTCAGAGTAATCCCCCACAATATGACTGTATAAACCGTGTGATTTTGATGCTCCAATATTTGCTTTAGCGCAATCGAGTATAAACTTCTGGTGAACACTGGGGATGTTTCTATTTCCCTTTAGAAACTGCCTTGCCAGAACCGAAGACATGCTGTGATTATGTTTTTCAATAAAAGTTGTAACTTGGTACCCAGCTGCTCCAATGTACTTAAACATAATCCTAACTCTGCAACCAGTTCTGTTTGAAACCCTTCGCCGCTTTGGACGGGAAGGACCTTCCCCTGCATCTGCACTTGACTGCGAGTGACAATGTTGAGCTCCTGTATTCTTAAATCCTTCTCTGTTGCAAACGATTTGCTTTTGAGTTTTTGTCCCGTCACGTGCTGTAACGACGGAACTAGACCTCGTGTCAAACCCAACTTTGGCAGCATAATGATTGTAGAATTCAATACCGGCATCCAATGTTTTAAAAATCATGTTTACTGCTGGTTTGATTTCATCTTCACAGTGAGGAGTCCAATACTGTGTCATTCCAGGAGATATGGTCAATGTATGACCATTGCTGCTGCTGCTGGGACTCAAACTGGGGTTGTTGGTAGATTGAAAGTCACTGGGAACTGTAACGTATAAGCATGAAGTTATGATTGTGTTGTTGCAAGCCTCTACGTGCGTAATGTGAACAATAAATATGAGTTAAGTTAATCAGATCATTGCCAATATGGCAGATTTATAAAATAAAAGAGTATGTGCGGCAAGTGAGAAATTAACGTGCTTCAGGGTAATAGTTAACGTGCGCATGTTGAACAGTTAACATGCGTGAGTGTTTGTTAAAATATTATGTCATTACTTAACGTGCGTCAGAGAGTCCAGTAACATAACATGCGTCTGGAAAGGAATTAATGTGCGTGTGCTCAACGGATAACATGTGTGAGGCAAACAGTAATATGTGCATTTTTAAAAATGATCATGCGGCTACCTAATCATCTACGTGCGTAAGGCTCTAGGCTCGGATTAATTAAAGTAGCTCAGTAATTCGGTGGTTAAGTTGCATGCATGTAGTGCTTAATGTGCGTGTAATTAAGACAAGAATGATGCCAATACAAGTGCAGATAAAATTAATTCCAGAAAAGCGATAGAATTTGGGTAATACCTCGATCGAATTCTTCCATTGTTGTTCGGTTGACGTTTTTGATGGGTTTAGGGTTTATTTTGATGAATATGATATTGAACGACGAAGAGAATAGATCTTATTGCCAATTCCGTAGAGATCGTAAATTTGTCTAAGATTAGGAAATATCGAAAATTAGGAATCAATGGTGAATTTTGAAAACGCTCGAAGAAGAAGAAGAACAGTTTTTTTTTAATATAATCAAAAGGACAAAAATGCCCTTAATGAGCAATTCGCGCTTAATTTTTGCTCTTAATCTGATTCGTTCGATCAAGAGCTACGTAAGGCTTAGATTAACCTCATTATTCACGGGAAGGAGTAAATGCACGGGAGCCCTTCCCTATATATATATATATATATATATATATATATATATATATATATATATATATATATATATATATATATATATATATTATATATAATATATAATATATTATATATATATATATATATATATATATATATATATATATATATATATATATATATATATATATATATATATATATATATATATATATATATATATATATATATATATATATATATATAGAAGAGCGCTCATATGCGGCGGGGTCTTACCGTGCGGCGGTGCGGTCAAATTCCAGAATACACCAACAGTGTTAACAATATGCACCAACAGTGTAATAAAAACACACCCCAATGAAATGTAATAAAACATCACAAAATACACCACAGACTCAAAAAAATACACCATATAACTCACCACCCCCAATGGTGTATTTCTGAACAGTGTATGGTGTTTTTACTCACACCTAATGGTGTGTGTTTGGTGATGCAGGGCTCTGTTTACTCTGTTTTGTGTGGTGTATTTCCTAACGTTGATGGTGCATATTTGGTGAACTATTGGTGTTGCCGCACCGTAAGAAATAGCCGCACCGTAAGACACTGCTGCACCTGAACCCGCCTCTATATATATATATATATATATATATAAAATATCATTTCAAAATCTCAATAATTGTGTGCCTAACTTGAAAAAAATCTAGGAAGAAAAGTTAGGAATGTATTGGTTACATGATTCCATGATTTAACTATTGTCTGATAAAACTCCATGGGAAAAGGCTTGTTGGAATAACTTGCCAATTCATAAAGTCTTCATGTCTCTTTTCTTTTCATTTTCAGTTATATTCAATGTAGATGCTTTAAAGACTAACAACACGTTTAATTCACGGAATACACATGAAATCAAATGACATTCTTAGAAGTGGCCTATTCCATTATTTGGTAAAACTTTTTGTGAAAAGAGAATAGCTCATTTTCGGGCCTCCCTTGCTATTAGGTTTTTTTATTTTTTTTTTATTTTTTATTTTTTATTTTTTTAATTTTTTATTTCTCAATTAAATTTAAAATTTGTTTAGGCTTTTTTCTTCATATCACAAAACTTCTTTATCACAAGTACAACACTTGCATCTCTTTCAGGTCAAGCTCTTCAACCTTCACAATATAAGTTTTAGGGAAAATTGTAAAAAATGCCCCTCTATAATATGCCAATTATTAATGTCACCCTGAATTATGAGTGATGTAAATGTTATCCCTCAATTATCAAAATGGTGCACATATAGCCCTTCCCGTAACGGACCCGTGGTTCCCCACCGCTGTCCATCGCTGGTACTTCGAATCGAGGTAGGGAAAAAATAACTAAATTACATATTTACTCCGACTTAACGGTGTCGTACACTAAGAGGGAACCACATGTCTGTTATGGGAGGGGCTATATGTGCACCGTTTGATAATTGATGGGCAACATTTACACTACTTATAATTCAGAGGTGACACTGATAATTGACATATTATAGAGAAGCATTTTTTAAAATTTTCCCTAAGTTTTATGTTGTTAATTAGATAAAGATATGATGCAATAATGCAAACGTCCATAATTACGAAAATGATATATTATATTACTGCTCTAGTTAGATTGTTGTATACGTTTTTTTTGAAACGTATAGAACAATCTAAACTAGATTGTTCTATACGTTTATTGATGGGAAAGTAATTAAAAGTAAGGGTACGTGGAAAATGAATTGAAGCTTGACTTGGAACAGAAAATCATTGCAATTAGAAATCGTGATCCGGCCTGACCGCGTACGCGTTTATTGATGGAAGTATTTCAGACAAAGGGAAAGGAAATTTCCAAACCTCTCTTTAAATAACGAATTGAATGCATTAAGACACACAAAGACCTCTGGGTCAAAAAGTAGTCGATAAATATTGTAATGGTTTGCGGGGCCTCATTTTGATAAGAGTTAATTCCAGCAATGGTCCCCCGAGTATGATGATTTTCCAGATTTGATCCTAGACTTTTAATTTGGATAATTTAACCACCCGTCTATTAAATTTTTTCCAATTGAGGTCCTTCCGTTAATTGTTGGTTAAGTCAGCGTCAATTTCAGGGGCAAATTGGTACTTTTACTTGCTAAGCGTATTTATACTATTCATTCCACCATATATACGCCATATATACGGGAATATGGTAATTGCCGATCCGCCCCGCGTACTGTTTTTCCTCAGTCCGTTTCGCCGTATGCCTCTCGAGGGGAATCTAATACCGCCGCCACCTAGCGCCTCAGCCGACATGGTTTGGCGGATCAGAGATTCCATGCTACTCCACAAGTAGGCCCAACTGGAGAATAAATTTCCTGGAACGAGTATGCTAATAAGAAGGATAAGAAGAAGAATTCTAGGTTTTTCTTGTTTTATCATATGTTTAGGTCTAAATCGGGTGATCTGGAATCAGATTCGGAGCCCAGGGTGTAACACTATGCCGTCGTCGTCTCCCTCGTGGTTCTCCACAATTGTCGCAGGTCGTCGGGGGGGGGGGGGGGTGGGGGGGTGGGAGAAAACCCGGTCGCTTTCGTTAGACGGAGCTACAATCGGAGTGAGGCAGAGAACACTCCGAAATTGTGACAGAGGAATGTAGCCGGCACTCCGATGAGGAGAAACGAAGAGGATTACCAGGGCGGATCGAGCGGGCAGTCGTCGCCAGCATGGAAACAAACATCGAGAAGGAGTCCGGCGTGTATCAGAGAGGCGACAGCGGCAAAGTTGGTCTCAGTCGGAACGCGTTTTGTTTGAGTCCATTGGTGTGGGCCAGCCCTAACGACGGTGGAATAAGAAGGGGATGCCGCCGCTGGAGATGGTGTATCCCGGAGAGATTAGATCTCCGTCGAAGTCCCGCTTCCATAATGCGACGTCGTTCTGCAAGAACAGATCGAGAAAACTTGCGGATTTCGGAAGGTCTCATCACAATTTGAAATGGAAACCAACTCACCATAGATGTATTCCTGCCTTCTTGAAGATGTTCTCGCTGCTAATTCGTTGGAAGGAAGAGGAAGATGAATTCAATGCTTTCTAGGGCTTCAGATGAGGAAGATGCTGCCGCGTATGTGTATTTATTCCCGTATATATGGTGGAATGAAAAGTATAAATACGCTTAGTAAGTAAAAGTACCAATTTGCCCCTGAATTTGACGCTGACTTAACCAACAATTGACGGAAGGACCTCAATTGGAAAAAATTTAATAGACGGGTGGTTAAATTGTCCAAATTAAAAGTCTAGGATCAAATCTGGAAAATCATCATACTCGGGGGACCATTACTGGAATTAACTCTTTTGATAATAAAATATAGTCACACTTCGGCAGTTATATCATCGACCCGACTCCCAAGTCCACTTTGCAAGGTAGACTCAGATCCAAAATACACAATTTACATACTGTCAGATCCAAAATACACAATTTACATACTGAATGTTCATGATTTGAATTGTGAACATTTATTATGTAAAAGTGTGAACATTCAGTATGTAAATTGTGTATTTTTGAACCCGGGTCCTCCTTACAAGATGAATCCACAAAATAATTTGCTGTCACACTTGTGTCAGACCATAGAATAATCCGATGATGAGGAGTCATCCATAGGTCGTCAGTCAAAACCAACTCTTGAATTATTAGTGGTGTAAATATTGTCCCTCAATTTTTAAAACGATACATATATTGCCCCTCAATTTTCTTCCTGTACTATACGGGAGTGGCAATATATGTAGCGTTTTGAAAATTGATGTGCAACATTTACGCCATTAATAATTCAGTAGTGACTTTGATAATTGGCATATTATGGAGAGACATAAATTACAATTTTCACTAAATATATATATAGGAAAAATTATAATTTAAGCCCCTACAAAAATTATAATTTATGCCCCTTCAATTTTCAAAACGGTACATATAGTATCCTTCCATATATAGATGAGACGATGTTTTGTTCAAATTAAAATAATTGATCAGATTATTGAGAAGCGAATACAGAGAGTCCTATAGGAGAGTTAACACAATACTCTCCTGTTATTCAGGACAGAACTATTGACTAGTCTACAACTAATAATAATAATAAATCATACAATATAAATGTGAAATATAAATATTACTAACACACCCCCTCAAGCACAAGGGTGGATGCAGACAACGTTGAGCTTGTCCCTGAGAGTCTGAAAACGCGGAACTGGTAATGGTTTGGTGAAGATGTTAGCAAGTTGGTCTTTGGTGGAGACGAAATTAACTATGAAATCCCTGGCAGCTACTTTGTCGCGGACGAAATGAAAATCTATCCCGACATGCTTTGTTCTGGCATGGAATACTGGATTTACTGCTAAGTAGGTGGCGCCCAGATTATCACACCACAGTGTTGCAAGAGTACCAGAGTGTAGGCCCAGCTCCCGAAGTAAGGACACAACCCAGGTTACCTCGGCAGCTACATCAGCAAGTCCCTTGTACTCAGTCTCCGTCGAAGAGCGTGCTACAGTGCGCTGTTTCCGTGATAGCCACGATACAAGATTAGTCCCAAGGAAGACTGCATAGCCACTAGTAGATTTCCGGTCAACTGGACATCCAGCCTAGTCAGAGTCTGAATATGCATGCAGATCAGAAGCTAGTGAAGGAGTCAGACGGAGCCCATATTCCAGAGTGCCTTTTACATATCGAAGTACACGTTTGAGTAGTGCCCAGTGATCCTGCGTCGGAGAATGCATGAATTGACAGAGCCTATTGACTGAAAAGGATAAATCAGGGCGAGTGATAGTGAGATATTGTAGGGCCCCAACAATTCTCCGGTATTGTGTTGGATTATCAAACGGATCTAGAGTCGGAGTAGCCGGTTGCGTAACTGAAGCTGGTGTAGCCAATGCTTTGCAGTCTGTCATACCGGCACGAGATAATATATCAACCATGTACCTGCGCTGTGACAAGATAAAGCTATCCCCATCCGATAGCGTCTCAATGCCCAGAAAGAATGTAGGTTTGCCTAGATCCCTGATTTTGAAGGTAGAAGACAAACGCTTGAGTAGAGAGTCAATTAATGCTGGATCATTACCCAACATAACAATATCGTTGACATAAACAAGTAAGAACACTCGCGAACTGCTGTCAGCGTAGTGAAAAAGTGATACATTAGTTTTGGACGCCAAAAACCCTGTTGAGATTAAGAATTCATGCAACCGTTTAAACCATGCCCGGTGTGCCTGCTTAAGACCATAAAGAGAGCGTTGTAAGTGACACACGTGATCGGGATGAGTGGGGTCCTCGTACCCCGGTGGCTGTTTCATATATACTGTCTCAGATAGATGCCCATTTAGGAAGGCGTTATGAACGTCAAGCTGACGTAGAGTCCATCTGTGAGACACTGCAAGAGAAAGCAAAATACGAACAGTGGTCGGTTTGACCACAGGACTGAATGTGTCAAAAAAGTCCCCGCCGGCTACTTGGTTGAACCCTTTAGCAACCAGGCGGGCCTTGTAACGCTCAATAGATCCATCAGCTTTGCGTTTGGTGCGAAACACCCATCTGCAGCCAATCACATTCATAGCCGGTGTTGCCGGGACTAGGTTCCAGGTGTTATTATGCAATAGTGCATTGAATTCCTGATCCATAGCATCCCGCCACTGCGGATGCCCAACGGCTTGAGAATAACACGTTGGATCTACAGTAGCGGTGAGTGCTAGAAACTGCTCATCCGTTCCCCGTGTCTTGCGGCGAGTGCGCATAACATGAACATCACCTTGAGTAGGCCGAGGTGTAACCCTACGACGTCTCCGGGTAGGAGCCGGCGCGGGCTCTAAGGCCAAATGTGGGGGGTCCTATGCCAAGGGTGTCTCTATTGATTGTGGTGCGGACTGGGAGTTGACCACTACGGGGCATGATCCCCACGGTATTGGTGCATTCTGCACAGGAGCAACCTGTAAAGAAGTCTGCATTGAAAAGGGAAAAACGGACTCATCAAACCGGACATGACGGCAGATAAAGATTTTCCCCGTGTTTAAGTCTAAACAGCGGTATCCCCTATAGGAAACTGGGTAACCTAGGAAGACACACGGTGCCGACCGATATTCCATCTTGTGGCGATTGTAAGGCCATAGATAGGGATAACAGCGACACCCGAAGACTCGAAAGAAGTTATATGTCGGGTGAGTGTTATATAGACGGAAATATGGTGTTTGAAACTGTATGGATGATGACGGTAAATAATTTACTAAATGAGCAGCCGTTTCAAAGGCATGATCCCAATACTGAAGGGGAGTTGAGCTTTCAGCTAATAATGCTAAGCCGGTTTCGACAATATGTCTATTCCGACGCTCAACACGACCGTTTTGTTCGTGTGTATAGGCACAAGATTGTCTGTGAGTTATGCCTAAGGATTCAAAAACAGTATGTAAACGGCGGTATTCACCCCCTAAGTCGGACTGGATGGCTTTGATAGAACGGGAAAATTGCCGTTCTACCTTGGCCCGGAATAACTTAAATATTTTATAAATATCTGATTTTAATCTGAGCGGATAAAACCAGCAAAACCGCGAGTAATCGTCTACAAAGAGAACAAAGTAACGAAAACCCGAATCACTAATGACAGAAGACGAACCCCAAATGTCCGTGTACAATAAATCTAATACATTACGGCTAGTGTTTGAAACTCTATCTAATGGAAAACGTGTTGATTTTCCGAGTTGGCATGCGGTGCACATTTTTGACGAACTAGTCTTATTGGGCAGAACCAAACAATTCTTTAAGACACGCTGGAGGACTTCATGATGTGGCTGACCCAACCTTTGATGCCACACCTGTGACGACGCGCGGGCGGACAGGAACGCAAAATGAGTTTGCGGGACCAAGAGCTTGTATAATCCGCCCGATGTTGACCCTTTAAGCAGAACCGTTTGTGTGTTGGAATCCTTCACAAGAAACAAGTTTTTATGAAACTCGAAATAAACATTGTTCTCGTTAGTAAAACGGTAAACAGACAATAATAGTAAAGTTAAATTGGGAACGTGCAGAATATTTGACATGTGTAAAGTTTTAGACCGGGATGGGATAACCGCATGACCCACACAGGAAACATCCAAACCTGCGTCGTTGCCCACTTTGAGCACGTCACCACCATTGTATGCTTCGGAATGTTGCATCATCTGATCATCCGGGGTCGCATGAGATGAGGCGCCCGTGTCCGGGTACCATGCATCCGGAACCTGAGGTTCATTGGACGTAGAAACGTGAGCCTGTCCACCGTGAGGTTGCGGACGATCAGCGTATCTCTTGAAGCAGTACACGGCCGTATGGCCGTGTGATCTACATATCTGGCAGCGGGGTGTGCCGCTGCGGCCACGACCATTGTTGCCCCTTCCACGGCCTTGCCTTCCACGCCCTCCACCACTCTACCGTCCACCTCCATTCTGCCGTCCCTGATCACCAGTGCCACTACCGCGACCAGCGAAGAAGGCTGACGGGGAGCCATCAGCGCCGGAGTCCACTGCGAAGTCATCTGCGTGTATAAATTCCTGGGCTTGCAGATGATCAGCAAGTTGCGACAGCGTGATGGGGTTGCCGGAGACGGTGAGCGAGCTCGCCATTGCCCAGAACTCAGGCCGGAGACCATGCAGCACATACAGTAATTGTTCGTTCGGCGAGAGAGGGCGGCCTGCGAGAGCGAGGGCTTCAACAATGGTCTGCGCCTTGCCCAAATAATCTGCCGGCGAGCTGCTTCCCTGACGTAGATTCTGGAACTGGCCGAGAAGACTCAGGCAACGAGCGCGAGTAGTTGACGCCAGTGCTGTCGTGACGGAATCCTAGACTTCTTTGGCGGTGTGCCTGCCGAGAGCGTGGTGCATAACCTCATCCGAGAAGGACGAGATTAGCAAAGACAAAATTGATTGGTCCTGCTGGAACCAGGCGGTGTGCGCGGGATTAGGCGCCGTTGTGGATGTCGTTGCCGCAGCATCATCAGAAGCTAAGGTGACGGATATAGTCTCCGGAGGGCACGGGAGACTACCATCAATGTATCCCAGTAGGCCTTGGCCACGGAGAAAGGGAAGGAGTTGTGTCCTCCAGAACAGGTAATTGCGCGTGGTGAGCTTCATAGATACGAAGTGATGCGCGACTGAAAGAGGATTTGGCGTCGCCGGCACAGTGGGTGCGGCGGGGATGATCGTGGTGTTATCGATTGAATTCGAAGCCATCATGAAGAGAGAGAGAGAGAAAGCGGAAATCAGATAGGAAAGAGGATCGCAGTCCTATCGCAACTGATACCAGATGAGACGATGTTTTGTTCAAATTCAAATAATTGATCAGATTATTGAGAAGCGAATACAGAGAGTCCTATAGGAGAGTTAAACAATACTCCCCTGTTATTCAGGACAGAACTATTGACTAGTCTACAACTAATAATAATAATAAATCATACAATATAAATGTGAAATATAAATATTACTAACAATATAGTGACCCCTCATTTTTTAAAATGGTACATATATTGCCCCTCTCATACGGGTACGGGATGGGCAATATATGTACCATTTTGAAAATTGAGGGGCAACATTTACACCACTAATAATTCAGGGGCGACATTGGTTATAATCTTGAAACTCCAGAATGGTCTAAATTCCATGCTATGCCTTTGTTGAAGCATCTCAACCTCCGTGCTAATGAGTTCAATTTGGATTTTTCAAAAGACTTGATAACAAGTTGCCCAAATTTATCTTACCTTGATTTGTCAAAAAAATCATTTTACCGGTCAAATTCCAGTGTCTGTGTTTTCCAAGGTAGAGAACTTGGAGCACCTTGATCTTTGTAACAATTTCTTCCAAGGACCTTTTCCCATTAGTTTTACCTACTTATCGAACCTTAAATTTCTGCGTCTTTCATACAACAACTTTTCTAGAGCAATTCCAGAAGAAATTGGTTCAATCACCAGTCTTCAAGCATTGAAATTGACCAATAATTCATTTCTTGGGAATATTCCACCTTCCATCGGAAGCCTTAAACATCTTAAGTTTCTTTCTCTTGGAATGAATCAACTGAATTCTATGATTCCCTTTGAACTTGGGCTATGCACAAATCTTGAAATCTTGTATCTATATAATAACTTTCTAACAGGCGAGTTGCCTTCCAGCATGGCCAATCTTTCCAAACTAGTTGAGTTAGATTTATCTTCCAATATGCTTTCAGGTGAGTTAGTACCACAACTCATTGCCAACTCGACACAACTAACTGCCTTGTCTATAGAAAGCAATAATTTCTCTGGAAGGATTCCCTCTGAAATTAGTTTATTGACACAACTTCAATATCTTTCCCTGACTAGTAACCAGTTCTCAGGTTGCATTCCCTCAAACATTGGGAATTTGAAAAAGTTGTCTGAACTTTACCTTGACTCAAACCACCTCTCTGGTCTAATTCCTTCAACAATTGGAAATTTAACATAGCTCAATTGGCTATATCTTTCACATAATTATTTTAGGGGGTCAATACCATGGGAAGTAGGATATTTAACATCATTATCTACTGTTTCCATAAGTTCCAACTTGCTTCACGGACCTGAGACCTTATCAATCTTTTGCAATCTCACATGTCTTTCAGTGCTTTTCATAGCTAATAACAAATTGAATGGACATATTACAAAATGCTTGGGAAACAACATGAATCTATATTCTTTTGTTCTTCGTGGCAATCAGTTTCACGGGGGTATTCCAAAATCACTCTACAATTCATGCCACCTTCATTTTCTTGACCTGTCAAGCAATTACTTGAGTGGTGTCATTCCAACGTGCCTGGGAAATTTTAGCAATCAACTCTCAATCTTGCGTCTTGACAATAATAATTTGCATGGTGCTATGTGACGGATATATTAGGAACTGACCCGCACCGACCCGAGGGCGCGGGCAAGAACGGGTCCCGGGGCGGCGGCATGTACCCGCCCCGACCGGGGCCTCACCACGTGGCCCCCGTACGGGCCACGTTGGAGGCCGGGCCGACCTCCACATGGGCTCGGCCCGAACCCATGACGGGCTCGGCCTGGCCCCACAGCACGGCCCGGGCGCGGTCAACTCGGATCTAACCACCCCCCGTGTTAGGGGGTGGCGGTTTGGGGCGGGGGTTGTATAAAAACCCCCCACCTTGTCTAGTTAAGACACGCTCTACATTTCCTACATACTTTGTCCTAAAATACTGCTGTAATAGCCAATTCTACGGCATTTAATACAATCTACGGTCTCACGGCCTTTGCCATATCCTTCGTACCATTTAATTATTATTCGTATTCTTATTCGGGTTAGTTAAGTCGGACCCCCGGTTTAATTAATTCCATCATTGGTGCTCTTATTGAGAGCTGCTGTACAAGCTTGAGTGCTCTCCCCTCTATTGTTCATTGACGGCGATGGCACGATCGAGATCCAGCTCTCGTCATACCAATGGTTCCCGCGGCACCCAGCTCGTCGCGAACGGGAACGGCCCCAACGGGGCCCCCACCCCCAGCATCCAACCAACCGCCTCCGCCAGGTCAGGGGAGGATCTGAGGGCCCAGCTCACCAACCACCGTAGTAGTGGTGCACCACCAGCACCCCCCGCCGCCCCCGCTCCAGCTCGCGCACTAATTCGGGAAGGGGTGGCGGTCTTCGAACAAGCTTCCACCGCGCTGGCGCGCGTCGCCGCAGGCCTCCGAGCGGAGGAACAAGCCGCCCTAGGCGCCGGCGTCATCTCCGCCTCCTCCTACCCGGGGGCGCAGCGACTCGAGCACTCGACCACCCCAGGCACCTGTCACCCAGGGGGAGGTCAACTCGCCTCGACCATCAGAGAGGCGGGGAGGAGGAGATTCCTGCCGAGACCGCCAGCGTGACGACGATGGAAGGGCGCCGACCCAAACCAGGCCCGCCCTGGAGAGGTTGGGCGATCGCGTGACAGCCCGGGATAGGTTGGGTCCGAGGCCGGCCAATGGGCCACCGGCGGCGGAGTCATGCTCCCGCCGACCGCCGCGACAGGGATCGGTCACTCGGAGGTCGCCGAGCCATGGGCCCCGCGCCCAGCCGCGACACGAGGCAGCCTCGCGCGGGTCAGCAGGTCGGGTCCCCCGACTCCACCCGCGACGCGAGCAGGCCTCCCGGGTCGAACGATCGGGGGAAACGAAAGGTAGAGCTCCGAGCTCCCATCGGGTGGAGGTCGAGAAGCTGCAGAGGAGGATGGACAAGCTCCAATAGAAGATCGATGAGAGGGACGGGTCTTCGGAGCCCCAGGACGTGTTGGCCTCCCCATTCGCGGACACCATCATGGCAGAGCTCCTACCTCGAGACTTTCGCTTTCCCACCATTAAAGCATACTCGGGGACCACGGACCCGCGGGCACACCTGACCAGGTACAGAGCCGCCATGATGATCACCGAGGCAACAGATGCCATCCTATGCAGGGGGTTTTTCGCCACCCTGGACGGGCAGGCACACGATTGGTTCGGGTCCCTCCCGGCGGGGTCCATCTCCACCTTCGCGGACCTCACCCGGCAGTTCCTATCCCATTTCGCCACCAGTATACAGCGGAAGAAGCAAATTGCCGACCTATGTGATTTGAAACAGGGGAGCTCGGAATCACTCGCTGAGTACCTCAGCAAGTGGAAGAAAGAGGCCATGGGGGTCGCCGACTTTGATGGGAAGTCGGCCATAGTGATTTTCCGGAACAACCTGAGGTCGGGCGCTTTTCACCAAGACCTCATCAGGTACCCCCCCAGGACCTATAACGACCTGATGGACAAGGCAGCAAGGTATGCTTACGCCGAGGCCGCCGAGAAGAGGAAGAAAGAGCAGGAAGAAGGACGTGGTCGGAAAGACAAGGCACCCCAGGAGGAGCGCAAGGCACCGCGGCCGCATCGACGTGAGTACGCTGAGGGGCCCAGACTGAACCCCACACGCTATCTCACCCCGCTGACACAACCAGTGGGTACCATCTTGGCGCACGCGGAGGTCTAGGGAATCGTGGTGTTCCCGAAGGAGGAGTGCATGAAGATATCGGCGAGGGGGGACCCCAACAAGTACTGCAGGTTCCACAGGCAGAAGGGGCACGATACGGACGAATGCATCCTCTTGAAGTGACAAATCGAGGAACTCATCCAAATGGGTTACCTCGCCCAATTCATTAAGAGGCCCGGCCAGGCACAAGGGCAGGCGCAGGGCCAGAAGCCAGGCAACCCCTGGCGATGCTTCAACTGCGAGGAGGAAGGACAAAAGGCCTTCCAATGCACTCGCCCCCAAAGACCGCGTCCCACCACCACGGGCCAACACGGGGGTACCGGTCACCAAGGGGGCTACGGCGCTCCCGGAAAAGTATTCGTCATGAGCCAAACGCAAGCCGACCTCGGAAACGAAGAAGGCCTAGAAGGGGAAAACCCAATCCCTGAAGACGAGGACCATACGGACCCCGTCGAAGAAAACCCCGAAAGCGAATTCTGTCTAGGATAAGCCACCACCCCCTTGTAACCGCCCCCGGTATCGTATAGACCACTTATTTAGTTTAATTACTTCGGGAGCATTATGTCTACTTAGCTTAGCTACTTAGAAAGTATTATGAATAAAGACTCCTTTTCGTTCAAATTCCGATTCCACTACGAAAGTAAAACACAAGTTATGCCATCCACCCAACCCTTCCTCACTAAAAGACGAAACAATGAAAAGGACAAAAATCACCTCATCAAGGAATGCCTAATGTCACCACTAGGAATTGAACCTTAGACCTCTTATTTACAAGTCCAAGCCCCTAACCACTAAGCCATGAGTGTTTTTTGAAACCTCAAGGGGACACCCCCTTGTTAAACCCCTCTAAATCCCTAAAACTCACAAAATCCCCAAATCAAAAACCCTTCTTCTTCTTCTTCTTCTTCTTCTTCTCTCTCTCTCCCCCCCCCCCCCCCCCACACCCTCTCCTCCTCCCTCTCGCATACCCCACTGCCCCACCACGACCACCACCTCCCACCAACGCCGCCACCGCCCGGACGCACCCCGGCAGAAGCCGCTCGCCTCGCCGCCGTCCAAACCAAGCCGCCGGAGACCACCCGCCGTCCGCTCGGAATCCGCCCAGCCGAGACCCGCTGCCACCTCCACCCGAA